TTATTAGCTAAACTTCAACTTACTGGTGTAAGCTCAAAATTAATCAGATGTATAAAATCAATGTATATGATAATGTAAATATATGTGTACAATGGTAAATCTCTCACCTCGCCTATTTTTACAATATTTAATGATTTTAATACTGTAGATCCTGTTATTTTAGATAATCTGATAGTAACCTTTATTATGTATGCTGACGACACTACTAATATCCACGTCAGCAAAGGCGTTGCAACATTTACTAGATAAATTACTTTCTTATTGTAATAAATGGAAGCTAACTGTTAACACAGAAAAGACTAAAATTCTTATATTTCAACGAGGACATTTAATGTGTAGCAATTATAACTTCATGTATAGTAATGATAGGATTGAATGTGTAAAAACCATTACATTAGAGTTGTCTTCCAACGGTAGATTTAAAGGAGCTAAATCGCTAATATTTGGGACCAAGAAATTGTCACAAATGGGTCGCAACGCACATAATAATGTAATATGAATGTATATAAACTGATTTATCACCCAATTATACATTCTACAGTAGATATCGCTTGTGTGATATATTTTATAATCTACTGCTCCTTAGGAGATATCGCTATACATGAATTTGATTGGTCAGTTGAAAAGGAACTACTTTTTTTATTTTCAAAGAACAGTTCATTTCTTATTAAAAGTAACTTTTTTTTTTTTTATTAAAAATGATCTATTGTTATTCAATTGACCTTGATGGAAACACTGGATCAATATAAAGGACTTTGCAATGGTTGAATTGCTGTCAAAAAATGATGTATCACTACCCCGTAATGTTCAGTAAAAGTGAAATCTACAGCAAAGAATTATATTTATCTATTTGTGCATGTAAGAAGGGATTGGGTGATAAATAAAATCTCCTACTAATCTTTTTTGATATCAAAAAATATCAACACTCGTTGATAAAGTAAAAAAATAAAATCGGCAGAGCCTCGTTATTTGTTACTTTATCAACTTGTGTTGATATTTTTTGATATCAAAAAAGACTGGTAGGAGATTCTCTATTTACATTCAATCGGTTCTGTTTTTACTCTGATTTCTAATCAGTTATGTTCGGCGACATACGCCAGAAGTCTCAATCGAATGGCAGTCTTTAGTGCCTGGTTATTCCAGTCTACACCGATAGTATTTATTTCACATGCTCTCCAGATAAGAATATGTGGTCACCCCTTGACATGACTTGTGGAATAAGTCTAGCCTCGTTCCTCGAGTCCCTTGTAACAAATGGCACTGAAACGCATTATGGTACACGATTTGTGTACCAATGGTCGAATTTTTATTTTGCCTAAAATATTCGATAACAGAAGCCCATCTTTTCAGGGTAAGATCACAACATTAATGTTGATTTAAATCGACAAATAATTCGTGTTTTCATATCGAAGACTTTGAATGATATTGAGTTAGAGACTTACCTATTTTAATAATACATAGAAAACACTATCTGTAAAAGGTCCAAAAGCCCTTTATCACTTATTTAATGTTTTTGAAAATGTACACCTCGATGTTAAACAACAATGTTGTTTATTTGATACCTATGTTGTTTCTATTTTATCTTAGGCATTTCCTGTATGGGCCTTCCATAAATCGCCAGACATCGAACGATTGCATCTACAATTTTGCAAAAGAACTATATTTGTAAAAAGATCCACCCCAACAGTCTATGGTGATCTCGACAGAGTACAGCTTCGAATTACACGACTTCAACTTATAATTAAATATTGGATACATATTATTTCATCTAAAACAAGTCTACTGTATCAAGTGTACAATGCTATTCTTCACGATGTGTCCATGACGAATAAAAATAAAGGCTTTAATTGGGCGTATAATAATAAATGTGTATTGGAATTTCATTTTTCGATGATCAATATGTTGTTTTACCTGTATATGATGAATTTAAACTAAGATTAAAGTTAACGATTAGTATTTACAGGAATGGAATGAAGATCGGTCGAAATATTCAAAACTAAATTATTATAACCTTTTCGCCATTGCATTATCACTAAAAGAATATTTATTAAATATCTTAAATCATAAACTGTGTATCTTTATCCAAATTTAGATGTGTATCATATAATTTGCTAAGCGAAACGGGAAGATGGGAAAAAATTTCCAGAAATGATAGAATTTGTAATTTATGCAATTTAAATAACGTTGAAGATGAATATCATTTTTTACTCTGTTGTCCATTATATAAAGATTTAAGAGAACAGCTTATTCCTTTTTATACGCCCAAATTTTTATGTGGACGTATATTATCGTCGCCCCTGTCCGACCGTCCGTCCGTCCACAATTGTTAATGAACACTCTACAGGTCACAAGTTTTATCCGATTTCAATGGAACTTGAAATATAGGTTTATCACCCCAAGATCTCGGTTCCTTTCGATATTGGCATGTATCGGACTGTAACTTCATACATTATGGCCCTTGATTGTACGAAAAATCACGTTTTTAGTTTGTGAACACTATAGAGGTCACAATTTTTATCCCGATTTGGTTTAAACTTGAAATGTATGTATATAACCCACAGATCTCGGTTCCTTTCGATATTCGCGCATATCGGACCATACCTTCCTGAATTATGGCCCCTGATTGTACGAAAATTCGCGTTTTTAGCTTGTGGACCCTCCAGAGGTCATGATTTTTTTCCGATAAAAAAAAAAGTATTGTTATATCACCGTTACACCCTAAGGACGGCTGAGTTCGAATTTCGTGAAAATCGGTCCAAAACTGACAGACAAAATGGCCGCTCTTCGTTCTCAAGTAGCGTAAAAATATGGTATATCAAGGTTGTGGACCCTATAGAGGACACAATTTTTATCTGATTTTGTTGAAACTTGAAATGTAAGTTTATAACCCAAAGATCTCAGTTCCTTTCGATATTCTTGCATATCGGACCGTAACTTCCTGAATTATGGCCCCTGATTGTACAAAAAATCACGTTTTTAGCTTGTGGACCTTATAGAAGTCAAAATTTTTATCCGATTTAAAAAAATCGTTTTAGTATATCATCGCTACACCCTAGGTGCGGCTGAGTTCGAATTTCTTGAAAATCGGCCCAAAACTGACAGACAAAATGGCCGCCCCTCGTTCTCAAATTATAGCGTCAAAATATGGTATATCAAGGTTGTGGACCCTATAGAGGTCACAATTTTTATCCGATTTTGTTGAAACTTGAAATGTAAGTTTATAACCCAAAGATCTCGGTTCCTTCTGATATTCGCGCATATCGGACCGTAACATCCTGAATTATGGCCCCTGATTGTACGAAAAATCGCGTTTTTAGCTTGTGGACCCTATAGAGGTCATAATTTTGATCCAATTAAAAAAAAACGTATTATTATATCACCGTTACACCCTAAGGACGACTGGGTTCGTATTCGTGAAAATCGGCCCAAAATTGACAGACAAAATGGCCGCCGTTCGTTCTCAAATAGCGTAAAAATATGGTATATCAAGGTTGTGGACCCTATAGAGGTCACAATTTTTATCTGATTTTGTTGAAACTTGAAATGTAAGTTTATAACACAAAGATCTCAGTTCCTTTCGATATTCGCATATCGAATTGTAATTTCCTGAATTATGGCCCTTGATTGTAGGAAAAATCACTTTCTTGTTAGCTTGTTCTCTATCCATCTCTCGAAAATGTGAGCGTATCCTGCCTGGCAGCCGCTGGTTATTATAGAAATCACAATTCACTTAAAAAATTTATAGATATTATGTCTTCCGCATCACCATTTATTTTAAACTCATTAGCAAATATATTATACATGTGTCATTTATTAAGCGAACGTCTATTCTAGAAGCTAATCTTCCCTAGAATTGTGGGGGGTGGATGGCTGAATGGTTAGCGTGTGCGCGCTGTATCATGAAGTCTGTCATTGAGTCAACTGGCGTTGTACGTGACAAGGAGTAGGGTTGCCTGTCCAACCTCGTGAGTTTTCTCCGGTCCTCCGGTTTCCTCCCACTGCTAAAGACACCTACGCGCAAGCGAATTATTGAAATAAAATTAAACCATATGTTAGTCCCGAAATGACCTAGTTTGTGTCGAGTGGACGTTAAACCCCATTTCTCTCTCTCCCTAGAATTGTATATACTTTTCTATCTTGTTTTGTATCATTAACACCTTTACATTACATTTGTATTTATTCATTTATTTATTTATTGTATTTGCTATAATTTATTTAACTTTCAACAATAGAATAATCATTTACTTACTTACTGACTTAGGTAGAGGTTAAATAAATTTATTTTGAAAGTTCTATTATTATCCCGAATTTTCTGAATTGACCGAATAACGGTATAGTGGATGGGGACGGTACATCGCTTTGACGCCAGACGGCCTCACCAAAACAATTACTTTTCATATACAATAAACATGATTTAAAACATACTGACATAAATTGTGCAATATGGGAGGTTAGAAGATAATTTGTTATCTGTATCACCAAGTGTATGATATGATATCAGTTAGTTAGTAATGGTCACTCTTAGCTTATTGTTCATAGAGTAAAGTCCGCTCAATATACATGACGTGGAACTGTTATAACATGTTTATAATTTTATTTCTTGTGCATCGTCTCTAATGTTATGAAGGTAAGTTTATGAGGTTTTTTAATTAAATTTTTTAAAATTCTATACTCTGACACCTGTGCTCAATGCTGTTTGTTTTCGATGTCATAATGTTAAAGGGCTGTACTATGACTTATGTATTTGACCCCATTAACATGAAAACAGTATATTATAAGCTATAATGGACACGACTCGTAACGAATCTTTAAATGTTTATATCTAACCTGCAAATTGGTACATGTGACAAATTATTCATGCAATATAATTTAAACAATTAGTTAGGCTAATCGAAAAACCCTTTTACCGAAAAGTAAAGATCGCCAGAACCCTAGAATGCCTTTTTAATTTTATTTTGAAATGCACTTTTATTTTGGCCTTCTGTTTTCAAGATTTCAGGGGGAAAAAACAAGAAATAGAAAGTATCGATTCAACATGGATGTGGTATTGAAGTTGACTGTGCTTCTAATAGTCGTTAACGGAAGAAACAGTTTAGCCATGAGGATTAAATGTTCTGATGAGATCGCTGTTGGTAACACTGTTTGGAATTGTTCAGATTCAAATATCTTCGAATTTCCCAATCTTAGCATACATCCTGGAATTGAGATATTGGATTTCAGCTTCAACCAGATTAATCATATTCCCAAAATTGACCAGGAAATAACAGATAAAAATTGTCCAGGACATATCCAAAAACTTTATCTACAGCATAACCAAATCAAATCACTTGATAACGATACATTTTATAACCTGAAATGTCTGACATATCTAGATTTATCTTACAACCAACTTTCAGGGGTCGATTTTAATGAAAATATATTCCACGGTCTTCTGAATTTAATAACCCTTAATATATCGTATAACCCACTGATGGTATTGAAGAACTTTTCAATGGAACATTCTAGTGTTGCTATTTTGGAACACTTTGAAGCTGTTAATTGTCAGCTTGGAACTATAGAACCCGAATCCCTTAATCAGCTAAGTTTTTTGAGAAGTATGAACCTAAGTCACAATAGTTTATCTTCTGTGAATTCTCATTTATTCAATCATCTAAATTTCTTATGTCGACTGGATTTGAGTTACAATAAATTAACTGATATCACCAACCAAACCTTTTACCCTCTGTTGGCATTGAAACATCTACATTTAGATTCAAATCAAATCTCCAAAATACAAGATGGTGCTTTTCATGGATTAACCCGGATGTCTCATCTGTCGTTGAGAAATAACACACTGTCCAAGTTTCCCTTTGAGCCATTGAGACCTGCAATTGCCCTTAAAGAGTTGGATATAAGTGCTAACTTGATTGCTTCATTCAACAAATATTCGGGTAATGTTATCAGAACAAAAATGGAACTATTTAGAATGGAGGATATGCCTAGACTTCGTTATATCGGTGCTCACTCGACGACGGTCTTTCCCCATCTTAAATATTTGTATCTCAGAAATAATCATGCATTAAACAAAATCGCACCAGAAGCTTTCACAGAGAGTTTTAAAAGTCTACAATATGTTTATATAAATGACAATGGTTTAACGACAATTGATAAGGATACGTTTCCCTGGAGCAGTTTATTGGATTTAGATTGGTCTGGCAATCCATGGGCCTGTGATTGCTATTTAAAGTGGGTGGTAACATTTCATTCAGTCAATAAAACTTTAAAGTAAGTATTATGTGCTCTTCGATATAGCCTTATAATTTAGCCGCCCCCCCCCCCCCCCACACACACACACGCACACCTACGGTGCCTTGGAGCCTTGCATAATTTATTTCATCTTAAAGTTCATGACACATAGAAAATGCTTTAGCAGTATATTAATGAAAAATTCAAGTTTACATTGTTTACATAAAAAGACAACAGATATTATTTTGTTACTCAGTAATACTTATTCTCCTGTTTTCAGATGCCATACACCAACAAAATTTAAAGGAAGAGATTTGCTGGAGTTGCATCCCCTGGATTTGAAATGCCCTCGTTCGTTAGTAATTGTGTTTCTCGCGTTTGCAATTTCAATAACTGTTGCCCTAGCGGTTGCTATATTATTTATTTTGTGGAGATATAAACATAGATTTAGATGTTTGAGAAGAAATAATAGTAGATACAGGTCTGTCTATACAAATGAAAGGGAAGATGAAGACGGTAGAGCGAGCATTGAGCTTACACCAGAGGATGAACGTCCCCTAACCTCCGGAGGACATGTTACTGAAAATGACTGAATCTATTAAAACGATCCATATAATAAATTATAATAAAAACTTCTCTAGTTTTCTGGTTTATATATACGAAATGTTTTTCTTTGTATTAATAATGTTTAATTGGTATTTATTGAAATCAAATGTAAGCTTTATAAATAAATACTAATTCCATGTTAGCTGGCGCTTCCATATCCTTTAAGGGAATTATCAGACATTTAATTAGTATTTTCATTCTATAATTTTATATTTTGATATATATTTTACATAGCATGTGCGGCAAGAATCTCAACGTTATGAGGAACTAATAGGTATTACCAAGTTTGAAATCTTAAATATTGTCAAAAATTAATGTTATGTCGACTTTAGCTAGGCGAAAGACATTGTTAACTTTTGTGTATGTGAAATAAAACGGTTTCCGGAAAGCAGATATACGAACATCATATTTTCTATTTTAGTTTCTCCTACAGCATGTTAACAAAATATTAAAATATCAAATATTAATCTTTTTAAAGGGGACGTCCATACAGGCCTGTTTATACAGTTGGAAAGGGGGGGGGGGGGCAGAATGCGGAAAAGTAAGCATGGAAAATAAACATGTGTAATGAATATTCGTAGCTGAAATAGAATACGCAGGGGAATGAATTATAACGTGATTGTTGCTCTGATCTTACACCAAATTGTTCATTACTCTTCAGATTTTCGCCTAATGAGAAAAATAATTTACTGCTCACTATGAGAGTTGCATATTGAGAGATTATAATATTAGCCACAGCGGTATTAGTTAGATGGTCATAATTACTCGCTCCATTTCATACACAGCATGACATAGATCAACAACAAAACAAGATCAAGCCGAGCTGACGCCCCACTGCGCTGGCGCAGATTGCCAATCAATGGTGTTACACCATACAACATTGACAGTGTTTTTCAAATCGTAGTGCCCCCTCCCAGCTAAAATCAGGGTTTTAAGTTAACAGTAAATTAAATTATTAAATCTAATATTTGCACATCTGTGAACTGTCGTTTTGTTTGTTTAATGAAGAACCTGTTGTATCGAGGAGGTTGGTTGTGCGGAAATCGCGGATTCTTGAAATTTAATCTTCCTATTATAATGGATCCCAAGTCGGAGCAAACAGGCTAGGAATCGCGAGATCACGCCATATTATACAAGTCACGGAATGGACGAGGTGATACTTAATCAACTTAGTATTCAATTGATGCTGATTTATTTCATCATGGTGGTAATTTCGGAAGGTTTCTAGGAGTAAATTTCCGGATTTTGTTCTGTATTCCGATAAATCTCACAACATTTACAATGGCAAATAAGCCTTGACCAATTCAATTATAAATTGAGCTCAAAATAGCATTTATATATCTTTTATCGCCTTAATAAAATAACTAATTTAAAGGAGCAAAAAATCTATATTCTTTGGCAAATAGAAATGGATACAAATGGGTCGCAACGCATACAATAAATTAATAATGTACATAAACTGATTTACATTCAATCGTTTCTGTTTTTACTGTGATTTCTATATTTAGTTATGTTCGGCGAAATACGCGAAGAGTCCAAATTGAATGGCAGTCTTTGGCGCCTGGTTATTCCAGTCTACACCGGTAGTATTCTCCTTTGGGATTAAATCATAATGGCAGTCTTTGGCGTCAAGTTATTCCAGTAGTATTATCCTGTTTAGCCTCGTTCATCGAGTCGCTTCATTACAAATGGCGTTCGAAAGCATAATGGCACGCGATTTGCGTGCTAATTTTAAAATTTTCATTTTGTCTTAAATATTGAATACCGGAAGCCCATCTTTTCACGGTAAGATAATAACATCAATTTTGATTTAAATTGACTAATAGGTCGTGTTTAAAATGTCGAAGACTGTGGTTGATATTGAGTTAGAGACTTGTCTCCTTTAAACGCACACATTATCAACGAATTCCCTCTCAAATCTGTTACTGCTCTCTTAAACATTTTTTCCTCAGATCCGAACATTTATCTACTCTAACCCAGAGTCTTACTATTTGTAATAAAAATGAAAATTCTGGTGAATAAAGATTATAAAACAATGTTTCTGCTGTAAACCTTAATGTGGAGATAATATTGTTAGTTCAATATATAAATTTATTTTTGAAGAATCATTGAATATGTGACCCTTAACCATATAATCACCCGTTAAAGCACTTATTATCCTGTCTACTCCATCTTAATGTTTCACCCTTCTTTCCTAACTATCTTAACGTCCCTTCAGGACTTTACTTCTATATTTGGCACTTTTGTGCGGAAGCTAGTATCGTCTGCGCGCTACTGAATACCCCACCGATTTTGTGCACAGCTGTGAAGCGAGATCGGCAGCTTGTTAGTTTCATGTTGGACGTCTTAAGACGTTTCCGACTACCAGACACACTAGGGGACGCGCGTTTGTTTGATCACCAAATTAATTGAAATAAATTCGTCTTAACGACATACAAGCATCCTTCCAGTCTCAAAGGATTGGCTATTAAAAGTGATTATGTTATTATTTTCTGAAATTTCCCTTCCTCTTTATACTTGTCGTATTATGGGCGCCATTTTGGAGGATAATTGACGTTTATCAGATAACATTGAATATATTTCATACAGCTTCTCCTTTATTAATACACTATTAGTTGTACTTTTAAATAAATGAAAATGAAATGGGGTTTAACGTCCTACACTTTTAAATACCCACGCCTTGTACATACAGATGCATTATGTAAGATTTAGATAAAGAGCTGGGGTGCCTGCAATAATAGTTTGAAAATAGAGAATCAAAAATTAATATATTGAAAATGTTACTCAAATTACCATATTCTGAGCGAAGTTATGAGCGTTTGAGGTTTCGACAAGCAATAGTCGATTGTCATGTACTATTGCCATGATAAAGTGTCAGTCACTTTATTGGCCGGGTAACGTCCACTCAACACAAACTAGGCCATTTCAAGACTAACATATGGTATTTTTATAAACACAATTAAACCGGAGGACCCGTGAGATTAAAACCACGCCACTTGACTTAATGATCTAAAGCGCAGACTATTCGGTCAACCAAACCCCCTTTATAAATTGTATACAAAAAACAAAATTATCCAAAGAAGTAACTGTTCTTTACGAACCACATGTGTTTATTATATTCTCTAGGTTATCTATGAAATTCAGGCTTGAGAAACGGGTACCCTGTCACTATGTGTTCATTAAAAATGGATAATCTCGTTGATCTAGAGCACAAATAAGATTGTTGATTTCAATGCATTTCATGTGTTGATTTATTTCTATAGTTACAATGAAATAAAACCAAGTACGAACAATCCAAACCATTAGACAAAATTCGAAGTCCTAAAAAAACGGTATCGGCAAAATAGTGTAATCAGCAAATGGACTCTTCACCGTGTACAAAATAACGTCTATCACTGGTGTAATTTACATATACGTGTAATCGAATGAATAATAGTTAAATATAGAGTATCAGACAACACACAATAAAATATACTGATATTAAAACGGTTTGGGCTACATATTATGTAAATTAAGCAATTCTAAATTAATGTGTGGGAGTTTAAAGTTTACACATAATAATAAATAACCTTTACATTAAAATAGTACATACTATTTTCTTTAAAATGAACGTTCAGGCTTAGTGTGCTTTTAATCTTCCGAAACAAATTTTAATCAGATCAACCCAATTAATAACTTTTTTTTGACCTAAAGCAAACTGGTTTGACCTCATTAAAAACATCATTTACATTTTTCACAATATATCAAAAAAATGTAACTCTCACAATATTGTATAGTTTAGAATTAACATCCGTCAAGTGACATTCAGAATTCAGAGAATTCACTCAGATGATACTATCGTTGACGGGTCATATATTTCCTACTACAGTAGAATCTGTATGAGCAGCCACTCTTATTCAGCGACATCTCCCTGTAAGCAGCGGTCACGATTAATCCCCCCCCTCCCCGTAAAAATTCTATTGTTTCATCTCTTTATTCAACGGTCACTCCTCTAATGCGGCCAGCGGTCACTATTTTACTAATAAATTCAACAAAACATCGCCCATTCAACGGCCATAGTTGAATGATACCATCTTGTTCTTTGTAACACCCCCGCTGATCCCGTGAGTAGTAGTTAATTAACTGGAACCCCACTGATCAGGTAAAAAGAAATGTAAAAATAACAATCAACCCGGGATTATCTGTTAATTAATCTTTTGTTTTATTAAACGACTACCCTGATCATTGTTTTTACGCGTAACGACACATTATTTGATACTGATTGAATAAAATAAAAGTACCGAGTTTTGTCACGATCATCTAGTATATCTTTTCCATTGCCACTTTATTGTTAAACAGACGTTTTAGCACCCCTATAATATTACATACAGAGTTATACCCCCTGTAAATAGGTGATAAAATAAGCGATGGTTTTTATTTCTTCATGTGCTTTTTTGATAAAATAAAATTAATTCATCGATTTTCTTCACAAAATGGATAAATATTATCAAATGCATCACAATGGTAGACAGTAGTATCGAAGGTTGGTACAAACTGACAAGTTTACAGAAGTTATGTCCGAGACTTGAATAAAGAATTTTCGTTCGGCGTAAGATTCAGCGACGGTCAAATTTACCGATGCAAGTATTGATGTTCGCTTCCAATGCATCCAAGCGTAATATTTAATTTATGTCAGCACAAAAAGTACCGAGATTTTACTAAGAGACCACTCCCGTTAAGCGGTCAGTCGTGAAAAGGCCCTTGGGTGGCTGCTTAATGCAGATTCTACTGTAATTAAACGGAGTCAGATATACTGGACCCCCATCCGACAACACAATTAAAATAAAGACTATTAACCATTTTACATATTATGATGGGCATTATTAACACTGGCATTTGTAAAAATACCGTTCCTGGTGTTTTAAAAACCGCACTAATAAAGAAAGTCAGCCTGGATCAGAATCCAGAGAAAAATTGTTTTATATTTATAGCTAATGGACGGAGTACCGTGTCC